TTCATGTAGCATCTCACTTTTCACTACCCACTGGGAAGTTCCAGCTGTTCGAGTCTGTTCTTTCTCACTCCCTTGCTCGAAAGCCCAACTGTCTATGGTAGCTTTCCGCTCTCTTTTTCTTGACCACTTCCAATCTCATTCTCATGCCAGTGCAGTGTACAACAGATGGCTCTAAGTCTTCTGACGCATAGGATTCGCAGCAGTGTTTCCGGACTGCGTCGTACACGGCATTTACTATCTTTGGCTGAATTGTATGCCATTCTGCAGCACTTATCTGTATTGCATCTATGCCTGTGTCATCATATTGTGGTTGTCTCAGACTCCCTTAGTGCTTTACAGGCTATACAGAAATTTGATGCACCTCACCCCTTAGTCCTCAGTATCCAACTTTGGCTACGACGCATCTCTACCAAGCATAAAGATATTGTTTTTTTGTTGGGTCCCTGGTCATGTTGACGTACGGGGCAATGAACAGGCAGACACTGTTTGCGCAGTCAGCAATACATGACCTACCAGTTTCATGTAGAAGGTTCCATTTACCGGGAGTTTACCTGGAGAGAGTTCCGGGGGCCCAACGCCCCGCGGCCTGTCTTGACCAGCCTCCGGTGGATCAGAGCCTGATCAACCAGGCTGTTACTGCTGGCTGCACGAAAAACCAACGTACAAGCCACACCCCGGGCTGGTCAGGAACCGACTTTAGGTGCTTGTCCAGTGCCAGCTGAAGACTGCCATGGGTCCTGTTGGTAATCCCCCTTATGTATGCTGGGAGGCAGTTGAACAGTCTCGGGCCCCTGACACTTATTGTATGGTCTCTTAACGTGCTAGTGACACCCTGCTTTTCATTGGGGGGGTGTTGCATCGTCTGCCAAGTCTTTTGCTTTCGTATGAGTGATTTTCGTGGGGCAAGTTCGGTACTAGTCCCTCTAGGATTTTCCAGGTGTATATAATCATGTACTCTCCTGCCTGCTTTCCAGGAATACATTTTTAGGAACCTCAAGTGCTCCCAGTAACTGAGGTGTTTTATCTCCGTTATGCGCGCCGTGAAAGTTCTCTGTACATTTTCTAGGTCAGAAATTTTTCACCTGCCTTAAAAGGGTCTGTTAGTGTGCAGCAATATTCCACCTAGATAGAACAAGTGACCTGAAGAGTGTCATCATGGGCTTGGCCTCCCAGTTTTGAAATTTCTCATTATCCATCCTGTCATTTTTCTAGCAGATGCGTTTGATACAATGTTATGGTCTTTGAAGGTGAGATCCTCCGACATGATCACTCCCAGGTCTTTGACGTTGGTGTTTCGCTCTATTTTGTGGCCAAATTTGTTTTGTACTCTGATGAAGATTTAATTTCCTCGTGTTTACCATATCTGAGTAATTGAAATTTCTCATCATTGAACTTCATATTTTTTTTCTGCAGCTCCCACTGAAAGATTGGGTTGATGTCCGCCTGGAGCCTTGCAGTGTCTGCAATGGAAGACACTGTCATGCAGATTGGGGTGTCATCTGCAAAGGAAGACACGGTGCTGTGGCTGACATCCTTGTCTATGTCGGATATGACGGACTATTTTGCTGCAATAGCTTACCATCTTCACACCATTCGGCAACAACGTTGGTCTACTCTGCTTGGTAACAAACTTCAATCTATTAAAGAGAAAGGGTTACTGGCCGTCTTCTTGTCACCAGTGCCGAGGTTGGAGACTACTTCCTCCGTCTCCACATTGGCCTTTACTCGTCTTACTCATGGATTCTCGTGGAGAGGCGCCCTGCCCCCTATCTGTGGAATTGTCGGGTTTCCATTATCGTCACCACATTCTGTTAGACTGCCCATTTTATCAACGAGCACGCAGAATTTACCTCCAACGTCGTCTTCGCTCCGCGCTCTCTCTTTACCTTCCCTTCTCATGATGGACCCACCCTTTTATCCGGACTCTCTCATTGACTTTTTGAACAACAACTGACTTACTTCACAAACTCTGATGATACCTTCAGCCCTTTCTACCTCAATCTCTTGCTACCCTCTACCCTGCACTATCCCCCGCCCCGCTGTTTTCTGTAACCTACTGATCGCCCCTCCCACCTTCTGCCGCCCAATACCCACGCTTCCTTTCCTACCCTGCAGCGCTGTATAGCCCTTGTGGCTTAGCGCTTCTTTTTGATTATAAAATAATAATTAGGCTTTGTTACAAGTACTACGGATGTTGTAGTGGCTAGGCTTAGGCTTGGTTACAAGTACTGACTGATGTTGTAGTGGCCAGGATTAGCCTTGGCTACAAGTACTTCTTGCAGTTTGGGAGACACACATGATCAAACTGAATGTAAATTATGTGATCAAGCATATGGTCACTGTCTTGAACACTATGTTTCTTAATTGTCCACTTATTGAGGAATACAGAGACAGTATAATAACCTATGTGACATGTCAGGATACCTTATTAATGATAATAAGATACCAGATATATTAAGCAAATTTCCTAAATTTGCTTGTAACAGATAAGTTAACTATAGATATGTAGATATAAATCCATATGTTCTCCTGTGAACCCTTTTGGAGCCTAGTTCCTAGACCTTTTGTGTATCCATTTGTTCTTACACTACCGTCCACAGGATGGATATGGGGTGTACAATAAACTTGCCACTTGGGTGGCAAAATCAATAGTGTTGAAGGCATACACTAGCAGGTGAAAAATAGCGATAGTATATACAAGAGTGAAGTATATTATAAGTAATGTATACAATACATCATAGAAGTTGTATATAATATTTGTAAAATAGAGTGTAGATGTTGGTGCACAGTGAGCTGGACACAACAACACACTTGTTTGTAGATGAATGGTTCAGAGAACCGACATGTTGATAAATTAGACACATGTGCAACTCTTGGTATCTTTATTGAGGAAACGTTTCGCCACACAGTGGCTTCATCAGTCCATACAAAGGAGAATCTTGAAGAACAGGAGTAGAATGAGGTAATCAGTCCCTCAACCTTGAGTCGATGTGGTCAGTCCATCAATCTTGAATAGAATATGGCATACGTGCGGAGAAGGAGCTTATAAACCGTTGGTAGGAGAGGTACAGCAGTCATAGGCGGTGTCACATTTGTTCAATGTGGAAGTAGTCGTGCCCAAGAATTAGGCAAGCGAAGAATTCCCAAGTATTAAGATCCCAAGATTCAAGATCTTCAAGATTCTCCTTTGTATGGACTGATGAAGCCACTGTGTGGCGAAACGTTTCCTCAGTAAAGATACCCAAGAGTTGCACATGTGTCCTAATTTACAACACACTTGTTAACTGTCTCCTCTGGCGGACTTCTGCGTCAACCTTCGTCAGGTGTCGACGTCTCTCTCTCGCCAGTGTATCAGTGACAAATTTCTACAGTTCTCTCTGGGATGCTTGTCCTCATCTATTTAGCCCGCCGGGCAACTCTACAGGAGGGGCACCTGACACTCTACAGGAGGGGCACCTGACACTCTACATGAGGGGCACCTGACACTCTACAGGAGGGGCTCCTGGCACTCTACAGGAGGGGCACCTGCACTCTACAGGAGGGACACCTGTTCATCGGCTTACTTTAGCCAGCTCCTTTTTTTTTCCGCTCTGTGGAAATTTCTTTAACGGTCTTGGTAGGAACCGGTTACGGGAAATCAGGGGGGTGTGGGCGTCCCTCTTGCTGGGGGTTTTGGAAAGGGGTCCCTCGCTGGGGTTGCAAGGGGGTTCCCCCCCGCTGGGGTTGGCAAGGGTGTCCCTCTTGCTGCGGTTTGGGAAGGGGCATCCCTCTGCTGGGGTTGGAAGGGGATTTCCCCCCTTTCTGGGGGTTTAAAGGGGGTCCCCCTCTTGGGGCTTGGGAAAGGTGTCCCTCTCTGCGGGCTTGAAAGGGGATCCCTCTTGCTGGGGGGGCGGGTGTCCCTCTCTGTTTCAGATTGGGAAGGGTGTTTTGTGGAAAATCTGAATATATTTTTAGAAATACATAGTTATATGTAAAAATGGCCCTACTGTATTTTAAAAAAAATTATGTTTTCGAAAACGGAAGCTGTGCCTGCGAAAAGAGAATTGCCCTTGCTGTTTGAACTGTCAAAGAAATTAGTGAAATCGGAAGAATTTTTTTGTGCTCAGAGGTTAAAATTGGGCTGACACCTCTCAAAATGAGCCCAAATTGTTGGAAGCATTCCCATAATTTTAGTATCAGGGCGACAGGACGGGCAAATCCAGAACTTAATAAGTTCAAAAAAAAATTTTGTTTTAAATTTTTGGCCTAAGTTTTTCATAAATGTAGGCAAAAAGTGGGAGGGGTCCTGTACATGGCACATTAATCTCCAGTCAAATTGGTGAGTGTTATGATTAAGATATATTCTCCTTCTGTTATATAAATGTGTTTATATATTATCATTTTTTAATTTAATATACAGTCCACAAATTTATATATTTACCAGCATTCCTGGTGATGTATATTTCATTTATAATTAATAGGTCCAGAGCAACTTGTGGATATGACAGTTGTAGGTATCGAAGGGGGACATTTTTTGTGACCTAGGTGTCCCAAATTCCTACTTGTCTATGTAACTCTGATAAATAATAATTATCTTTGTTATCATTTACTGTTATGTACATAATGATTTACATTCAGATAAATCCAATTTTCCACAGATGTCCTTCTCTGCTGGGGCTTGGCAAGGGTGTCCCTCTCTCCTGGGGCTTGGCAAGGGTGTCCCTCTCTGCTGGGGCTTGGCAAGGGTGTTCCTCTGCTGGAGCTTGGCAAGGGTGTCCCTCTGTGCTGGGGCTTGACGAGGGTGTCCCTCTCTGCTGGGACTTGGCAAGGGCGTCCCTCTCTGCTGGTGCTTGGCAAGGGTGTCTCTCTCTGCTGGGGCTTTGTAAGGGTGTCCCTCTCAGCTGGTGCTTGGCAAGGGCGTCCACCGGATCTAATTGGAAGCATGAAGTTTCTATCTGTATTTACAAAGGAACTTTTGTTTCTTTTGTGTCAATGCTGATGCTTGGACAACAATGTTGCTGGTACCATCAAGAAACCGGAGTTGATACTCCAGCTGATGCTGCTGTCACTGGCCCTTATAAACCCAACAAAGAAAGAAACAAGTGTGATGAAGTGAACAATAAAGAGTGTTTGTGGTGTCTAACACAGGTAAGTAACACCGACCTTTATTACAATACAACATTCATGTGCTAGATGATACATAGACAGAGTTTGACACATGAAATATAGTGTATTAAGGTGCCAGACATGATCATATCTCCCGTGTCTTGTTGACTGTCTTAGTTGTTGACTGTCTTAGTTTTTTGACTGTCTTAGTTTTTGACTGTCTTAGTTTTTGACTGTCTTAGTTGTTGACTGTCTTAGTTGTTGACTGTCTTAGTTGTTGATGTCTTAGTTGTTGACTGTTTTAGTTGTTGACTGTCTTAGTTGTTGACTGCCCTTAGTTGTTGACTGTCTTAGTTGTTGACTGTCTTAGTTGTTGACTGTCTTAGTTTGTTGAACTGTCTTAGTTGTGATGTCTTAGTTGTTGACTGTTTTAGTTGTTGACTGTCTTGGGTTGTTGACTGTCTTAGTTGTTGGACTGTCTTAGTTGTTGACTGTCTTAGTTTTTGACTGTCTTAGTTGTTGACTGTCTTAGTTGTTGACTGTCTTATTGTTGACTGTCTTAGTTGTTGACTGCTTAAACCTGTTGACTGTTTAGCTGTTGACTGTCTTTGTTGTTGACTGTCTTAGTTGTTGACTGTCTTACCTATTGACTGTCTTAGTGTTGACTGTCTTAGCTGTTGACTGTTTTAGTTGTTGACTGTCTTGTTGTTGACTGTCTTAGTTGTTGACTGTCTTAGTTGTTGACTGTTTAGTTGTTGACTGTCTTAGTTGTTGATGTTTAGTTGTTGACTGTCTTAGTTGTTGATTTGTCTTACCTGTTGACTGTCTTAGTTGTTGACTGTCTTACCTGTTGACTGTCTTAGTTGTTGACTGTCTTAGTTGTTGACTGTCTTAGTTGTTGACTGTCTTAGTTGTTGACTGTCTTAGTTTTTGACTGTCTTAGTTGTTGACTGTCTTACCTGTTGATGTCTTAGTTGTTGACTGTCTTAGTTGTTTGATGTCTTAGCTGTTGACTGTCTTAGTTTGTTGACTGTCTTAGCTGTTGACTGTCTTAGTGTTAACTGTCTTAGCTGTTGACTGTCTAGTTGTTGACTGTCTTAGCTGTTGACTGTCTTAGTTGTTGACTGTCTTAGTTGTTAAATGTCTTAGTTGTTGACTGTCTTAGTTGTTGACTGTCTTATTTGTTGACTGTCTTAGTTGTTGACTGTCTTAGTTGTTGACTGTTTTAGCTGTTGACTGTTTTAGCTGTTGACTGTCTCAGCTGTTACTGTCTTAGCTGTTGACTGTCTTAGCTGTTGACTGTCTTAGTTTGTTGACTGTCTCAGCTGTTGACTGTCTTAGCTTTTGACTGTCTCAGCTGTTGACTGTCTTAGCTGTTTGACTGTCTTAGCTGTTGACTGTCTTAGCTGTTGACTGTCAGGTCCTCAGGTGTTGACTGTCAGGTGCTCAGGTGTTAGCTGCTCAGGTTTTTTGAGCGTCAGGTGTCAGGTGCTCAGGTGTTGACTGTGTCAGGTGTTAGCTGCTCAGCTGTTGACTGTGTCATGTGCTCAGGTGTTGACTGTGTCAGGTGTTAGCTGCTCAGCTGTTAAACTGTGTCAGGTGTTAGGTGGTCAGCTTTTGACTGTGTCAGGTGTTGGGTGGTCGGGTGTTGACTGTGCCCAGTGTTGGGTGGTCAGGTTTTTGACTATGTCAGGTGCTCAGGTGTTGACTGTGTCAGGTGTTAGCTGCTCACGTTGACTGTGTTAGGTGCTCAGGTGTTGACTGTGTCAGGTGCTCAGGTGTTGACTGTGTCAGGTGTTAGCTGCTCAGATGTTGACTATTCAGGTGTTAGCTGCTCAGGTGTTGACTGTCAGGTATTGTGCCCCAGGCGTTGACTGTCTTAGCTGCTCAGCTGTTGACTGTGTCAGATGTAGGTGCTCAGGTTGACTGTCTCAGGTGTTACCTGCTCTGCTGTTGACTGTGTCAGGTGTCAGGGTGTTGACTGTGTAAAGGTGTTAGCTGCTCAGCTGTTTACTGTCTCAGGTTTTAGCTGCTCAGCTGTTTTACTGTCAGGTGTTGGCTGCTCAGGTTTTTTGAGTGTGTCAGGTGTTAGCTGCTCAGCTGTTGACTGTCTCAGGTGTTATCTGCTCAGGTGTTGACTGTGTCAGGTGTTAGCTGCTCAGCTGTTGGTTTTGTTAGCTGCTCAGCTGTTGACTGTGTCAAGTGCTCAGGTGTTGACTGTGTCAGGAGTTAGCTGCTCAGCTGTTGACTGTGTCAGGTATTAGCTGCTCAGTGTTGACTGTCTCAGGTGTTAGCTGCTCAGCTGTTGACTGTGAGGTGTTAGCTGCTCAGGTGTTGAGTGTGTCAGGTGTTAGCTGCTAGCGTTGAACTGCCTCAGGTGTTAGCTGCTCAGGTGTGACTGTCTTAGCTGCTCAGTGTTGACTGTGTCAGGTGTTGGCTGCTCAGCTGTTGACTGTTTTAGATGTTTGGTGTTTGACTGTGTCAGGTGTTAGCTGCTCAGGTGTTGACTGTGTCAGGGTTAGCTGCTCAAGTGTTGACTGTCTCAGGTATTTGCTGCTCAGGCGTGACTGTCTTAGCTGCTCAGCTGTTGACTGTGTCAGATCTAGGTGCTCGGGTGTTGACTGTCTCAGGTGTTCCCTGCTCTGGCTGTTAAACTGTGTCAGGTGCTCAGGTGTTGACTGTGTCAGGTGTTAGCTGCTCAGCTGTTTACTGTCTCAGGTTTTAGCTGCTCAGCTTTTTTACTGTGTCAGGTGTTGGCTGCTCAGGTGTTGAGTGTGTCAGGTGTTAGCTGCTCAGCTGTTGACTGTCTCAGGTTTTATCTGCTCAGGTGTTGACTGTGTCAGGTGTTAGCTGCTAAAGCTGTTGGGTGTTTTAGCTGCTCAGCTGTTGACTGTGTCAATGCTCAGGTGTTGACTGTGTCAGGATTTTAGCTGCTCAGCTGTTGACTGTGTCAGGTATTAGCTGCTCAGCTGTTGACTGTCTCGGGTGTTAGCTGCTCAGCTGTTGACTGTGAGGTGTTAGCTGCTCAGTGTTGAGTGTGTCAGGTGTTAGCTGCTCAGCTGTTGACTGCCTCAGGTGTTAGCTGCTCAGGTGTTTGACTGTCTAGCTGCTCAGCTGTTGACTGTGTCAGGTGTTGGCTGCTCACTGTTAAACTGTCTTAGATGCTCTGGTGTTGACTGTGTCAGGTGTTAGCTGTCAGGTGTTGCCCTGTGTCAGGCGTTAGCTGCTCAAGTGTTGACTGTGTCAGTGTTGGGTGGTCAGTGTTGAGTGTGTCAGGGTTAGCTGCTAAAGCTGTTGGGTGTGTTAGGTGGTCAGGTGTTGTGTTTATGAGGTGTTAGGTGGCTCAAGTGTTGAGTGTGTCATGTAATGCTCAGCAGTTGAGTGTGTCAGGTGTTAGGTTGCTCAGGTGTTGAGTGTGTCAGGTGCTAAGGCAGGAGTAGGTGTTTACATGCTCAGGCAGGAGCAGGTGTTAGGTTCTCAGGCAGCAGCAGGGTTTAGGTATTTCGGGCAGCAGCGGGTTTTAAGTGCTTAGACAGCAGCAGGTGTTAGGTACTCAGCTGCAGCAGGTGTTAGGTAGTCGGGCAGCACATTGTTAGGTGGTCAGGCAGCAGCAGGTTTTTAGGTACTTAGGCAGCAGCAGGTGTTAGGTGTCAGGTGTTAGGTGCTCAGGTGTTGAGTGTGTCAGGTGCTAGGTGCTCAGGTGTTGAGTGTTTCAGGGTTAGGGGTGAGGAGCAGCAAAGCAGCAGGTCTTAGGTGGTGAAGTAGCAACAGCAGGTGTTAGGTGGTGAGGCAGCAGCAGCAGGTGTTAGGTGGTTACTCAGCAGCAGGTTTTAGGTACTTAGGCAGCAGCAGGTGTTAGGTGTGTCAGGTGTTAGGTGCTCAGATGTTGAGTGTGTCAGGTGCTAGGTGCTCAGGTGTTGAGTGTGTTAGGTGGGAGGCGCAGCAGGTGTTTAGGTGGTGAGGCAGAGCAGCAGGGGGTTAGGTGGGAGGCAGCGCAGCAGGGTGTTAGGTGGTGAGGCAGCAGCAGCAGGTCTTGGGTGGTGAGGCAGCAGCGGCAGGGTTAGATGGTGAGGCAGCAGCAGCAGGTTTTTAGGTGGTCAGGCAGCAGCAGCAGTGTTAGGTGATCAGGCGCAGCAGGTTTTAGTACTTGGGCAGCAAACAGGTGTTAGGTGTGTCAGGTGTTAGGTGCTCAGATGTTGAGTGTCAGGTGCTAGATGCTCAGGTGTTGGTTTTGTCGGGTGTTAGGTGGTGAGGCAGCAGCAGGTGTTAGGTGGTGAGGTAGCAACAGAGGCATTAGGTGGTGAGGCAGCCAGAAAGGTGTTAGGTGGTGAGGCAGCAGCAGGTGTTAGGTGGTGAGGTTTGCAACAGCAGGTGTTAGGTGGTGAGGCAGTAGTAGCGGTGTTAGGTGGTGAGGCAGCAGCAGCAGGTGTTAGGCGGTGAGGCAGCAGCAGCGGGTGTTAGGTGGTGAGGCAGCAACAGCAGGTGTTGGGTTTGGTGAGGCAGAAAGCAACGGGTTTGTTAGGTGGTGAGGCAGCAGCTGCAGGGGGTTTAGGTGGTGAGGCAGCAGCAGCAGCAGGTGTTGGGGGGTGAGGCAGCAGCAGGTGTTAGGTGGTGAGGCAGCAGCAGCGCAGGTGTTAGGGGTTTGAGGCAGCAGCAGCAGGTGTTAGGTGGTGGGGCAACACCCAGCAGGTGTTAGGTGGTGAGGCAGCAAGCAGCGGGTTTGTAAGGTGGTGAGGCAGCAGCAGGTGTTGGTGGTGAGGCAGCAGCAGCAGCAGGTGTTAGGGGTTGAGGCAGAACCAGGTGTTAGGTGGTGGGGAAAACAGAGCAGGTGTTAGGTGGTGAGGCAGCACCCAGCAGGCATTAGGGGGTGACAGCGGGCAGCAGAGGTGTTAGGTGGTGAGGCAGCAGCAGCAGCAAGTGTTAGGTGGTGAGGCAGAAGCAGGTGTTAAGTGGTGAGGCAGCAGCAGGTGTTAGATGGTGAGGCAGCAGCAGCAGGTGATAGGTGGGAGGCAGCAGCAGCAGGTGTTAGGTGGTGAGGCAGC